AGAATTTATATCAATTGTTATTCAGCTTGAATGATGACTACCTTCACGTTTTTATTCATTGTCTGTGTTACTACCTTGTTTTTTACTTTCACTTTTGAATGATATAAAAAAAACGAATAATTTTATTCCCTTCTTTCAATTTCATCTAAAACCTTTTTATTTTTGTATGATGACTTTCCTTCTTCGTTTTAATAGTTATTTGATATCATATTCACCTTTTTTTTTACATCACTGATTGCATAAAAACTTTCCTCATTTCTCCATCCTTATCCCACAGTTCCCTTTTCTCTTCTTTTTATTTCTTTTTTCTATCTCTCCTTTTATTATATATTAATCGGCACCTGCCTCGCACGTAGAAAAATCGTGCAGGTTAGAAATCAAATGAATAAAAATCGCTCTCTCTCTCTCTCTCTCTCTCTCTCTCTCTCTCTCTCTCTCTCTCTCTCTCTCTCTCTCTCTCTCTCTCTCTCTCTCTCTCTCTCTCTCTCTCTCTCTCTCTCTCTCTCTCTCTCTCTCTCTCTCTCTCTCTCTCTCCTCTGCATTCGATGTGGGTTTATTGTGTAAATTACTTTTTGTTTGCTTCCACTGCTTTATTTTTATTTTCATTTTTCATTTCTTAGGGGGTTAAGGGTAAAGAGGAGGAAGTTATTATCTTTTTTATTTCTCTCTACTTTTTTTCCTTCATTTCATCTCCCTAATTTAAACTATTCTCTCTCTCTCTTTCTGTCTCTGTCTCTTCTCTCTCTCTCTCTCTCTCTCTCTCTCTCTCTCTCTCTCTCTCTCTCTCTCTCTCTCTCTCCTCTCTCTCTCTCTCTCTCTCTCTCTCTCTCTCTCTCTCTCTCTCTCTCTCTCTCTCTCTCTCTCTCTCTTCTCTCTCTCTCTCTCTCTCTCTCTCTCTCTCTCTCTCTCTCTCTCTCTCTCTCTCCTCTCTCTCTCTTTTCTCCCTCTCTCCCTCTTCTTCTTCTCTTTCTGTCTGCCTTCCCATTCTCCTCTCGTTCCCTGTCCCATTTCTTATTTCAATATCTTATTTAACCTTTGCCCACAATATTATTTTCACTTTCGGTTTTGTTCTCCCACGTGACCCTCAACTTCAGGTCAAACTCAAGTATTCTTAGGTCAGGCTGCCAGGTCAAGACAATGTTGCTTTCTTCAAGACGGGCTTGGTTATGTTGGGCGAAGAAAATGAAAATGAAAAGAAAACGACTGTTTTAGGATAGACTTTTATTTTTCTCGTTGACCGCAATCGTGATTAGTCTGTGGTTCGCAAATATATATATTTATATATAGTTGCATTGCACTGCACTTAGCAATGAAAATGTGAAGGGAATAGGATAGAGACATTAGTCATTGATATTTGTAAATATTTGTGTTGATATATGGATAAAGTATAAATTCGGATGCATACGGAAAGACAAACAATGATACTGCAAACACACACACACACACACACACACACACACACACACACACACACACACACACACACACACACACACACACACACACACACACAAACACACACACACACGCTGGTGTAGATATTCATATAGACCTTAAACTCTTGAAAATCACGGGAATTTGTTCACTATTTTTTTGTTGTAGAGAATGCAAGTGGATCATGAAAATGGTAGAGAGAGTAAAATGGCAAAAGATGTAGATAAATGGAGAGAGAGAGAGAGAGAGAGAGAGAGAGAGAGAGAGAGAGAGAGAGAGAGAGAGATGAGAGCAGAGAGAGAGAAGAGAGAGAAGAGAGAGAGAGAGAATAATGAATACATTTATGGATATCAGATCATGACAAGAAGTAAAGAATAAATATCTAAAGAATATGTGCTGAAATTGCAAAGACAATCCAGAAGTAATTAAATAAATAACAAAGACAAGGAAAGAGAGTAATAAATACATCCTGTATACACTGGAAACATTCATTATATTAAAAACGGGAAATTTTGGGTAAAGGCCCGACGAAAAAAAAAATGTCCTTATATGGCTTTACGAAGATGAAATGAAGCCCAACGGGTTTTTTCGCGTGAAAATTAAGAGACAACTCTACCAAAGGAAAAGGTAATCACAGGGTACACCTTGAAATAGCAGGGTCAAGTATCGGTCGTTTGGTATGGCACGATTATAAAGAGCTCACGGCAGGGGGGGGGGGGAGTAGGGAGAAGGAGAGTAGATGTAGGAGATGGGTAAGATAGGGAGTTGATGAGAGTAGGGTGTAGGGAGTAAAATAATGGGATAGGGAGAAAGAGAAAGAGGGTAGGGGAGTGAGAGAATGTGATTGGGAGAAAGAGAAAGAGGGTAGGGGGAGTGAGGCAGGGGGTAGGGAGATAATGAATAGTGTAGGGAGAATGAGGAAGGGGCAGGAAGGAAAAAGAGATCGGGTATGGAAAATGAGGGTGGGTATGGAGGAAGAGAAAGGGGAAAGGAGAATGGGGAGGGAATAGGAGAGAGAGAATGGCGGTAGGGGAGTAAGGAGGTAGGGAGGCAGGGGAGAGGAGTA